CTGTAGGGTTTTTTTTGCCTTTCAGGGAGTTTAGGGGTCCAGGGGTTTAGGGTTTAGGGGTTTAGGGTTTAGGGTTCAGGGGTTTAGGGGTTTAGGGGTTTAGGGTCCAGGGGTTTAGGGGTTTAGGGCTTTAGGGTTTAGGGTTTAGGGTTTAGGGAAGTGGAGAGTAGGCTGCTTGTGACTTAGTGCTTGACGTTGCGCAGCACTGCCTAAGCCAAATAACCTGGGAATATGAGTCAGAAACCCAGCGCCCCAAATCCCAGCTTCAATTTGAGCGTCAATGTTGGGAACCTTCAATCGCACCAACCCCGGGTTTTTTTGATCAGGTTCCAAAACGCCGAAACCCCAAACCCGAAAACACGAAAGCCTTGAAACAGCGACAAATACTCTCCCTATCAGCCCCTCGTCTCTCCTATGTTATCTGAGCACAGACGAATTGCCAAAACAACAGCCTTCTAGCGAGGCATAGGAAGCGCATCAGCAACAATCATGTCGTATGGCTGGGCCCAAAACCTCTAAACCCTACAGCCCTAAACCCTAAACCCCTACACCCCAAACCCTCCAAACTTTTCCTTTTGGGTCAGGGCACCCAATCCTGAACCTTAAACCCTGAACCAACAAAAACACAAATCCTGAACCCGAAACCCCAAACCCTCACCCCTAAAGCCCCTAAAACCCCTAAGACCCTAAACCCTGAACCCGAAGCCCTGAACCCTAAACCCTAAACCCTAAACCCTAAACCCTGATAACTCGGACCTGCAGTCTACACCCCACGGAGACGATGTGCGCCCCCGTATCCAGAGACGCCAATACCCCTTACCTAAGCCTTAGGGTTTAGGGTTTAGGGTTTAGGGTTTAGGGGTTAGGGTTTGGGGTTTAGGGTTTAAGGAATACACCTTAAATTGTAAAATAAGGCCCCCAGAATTTCATGTAACAATTTTAGGTATATTCCCCAAGTAAGGGATCTTGGGATCTCCGAAAAACCCTGAACCCTAAACTCTAAACCCAAATTCAGGGATATTGGGATCTCCGAACAGATTCTCAAAGCTGCTTAAATTTCCCTAGGATCCCAAGAGCTAATCAAGATTTGGGCAACGTAGACGTCGGAACCATTCGTAGTAGTTTAGGGTTTAGGGTTTAGGGTTTAGGGTTTAGGGTTTAGGGTTTAGGGTTTACGGTTTAGGGTTTAGGGTAAAGTATAGGGGCCTTACATAGCAAGGGTAAGGTTTTGGGGTACTATACTGTAATTATAATAAGGAACCCCCAAAATAGTATAGGTAATTATTTAGGCCCCTATAGTACTATCCTTGTACAAACCCCAAATATGTTTGCTCTTATGTGCTCCTGAACCTACTCTATCGATTAAGGCCCCGAAAGTGTAGTGTTTAAGTAATGAGGGTCGGACTTTGTGCGAAGCCAGCCCCGGCAAGCAAATGTTCAGACGCTCTTAATTAGGTGGGAGTTACGTAGGGTTAGGCGGACCCTTGGTTTAGGGTTTAGGGGTTCAGGGTTTAGGGTTTGGGACCCTTGGGGATATAGACCCTCTCAATAAGGCCCCGTAAATTTTAGGAGAGCCACAAGTGGAGTTCAGAAGGGTCCGCTTTAAGGGGTCTCCATAACACTACCTAGGAACGGTTTAGGGTTTAGGGTTTAGGGTTTAGGGTTTATAAGGGTTTAGGGTCAACTTGCTCAAAGCAAGCTTTCGACCCCAAAAAATACCCTAGAACCACTCAAACCCCAAGACCCTAAACCCTCTAAGCCCATAACCCCTAAACCCTAAACCCCTAACCCCTAAACCCTAAACCCTCTACGCCCTAAGCATCCCTGAGCCCTAAACCCTAAACCCTAAACCCAAGCCCGGACCCCAAACCCCACCTGTTCATTCCGGTTCTCGGGCTTTCACGGGCTAGTGGCCTCCGAACACCCGCCTTCTTGTCCCCTTACGGTTTAGGGTTTACGGTTTACGGTTTACGGTTTAGGGTTTAGGGTTTAGGGTTTAGGGTTTAGAGTTTAGGGTTTCGGGTGTACAGGACAATGTACCCCAAAAAAGCCAGTTCAAGTCCTTTGCTGCCAGTCACTCGCAGCGAAGGCGACGCCGTGCATCCATTGCTGCAGCTCGGGCAGCTCGGCGGCCCCTTGCGGTGCGAGGCGGTGTGCGAACGCGATCCACCACGTCTCCACAGCCTCTGGGTTTTAGGGTTTAGGGTTTAGGGTTTTGGGTTTTGGGTTCCACAGCCTCTGGAGTTTTATAAGCTGGGTTCGTTGACAAGGTAAAAAAATACTCCGAGGATCTGCTGATGGCTTCGGGGTAACCCTAAACCCTAAACCCTAAACCCGTGGCCGTGGGGCCCCCAGGTTTGGGCTTTTGGTTTCTACGGTTTAGGACTCGCCTGCAGAGCTCCAAGCAGAGAGTCCTTGGGCTTTGGGATTGCAACCGTTTTCAGCAACAAACCCAGACCCCCAAAAGGATCTAAAAAATAAATCTCCTAAGGGGGGTCCTATAAAGTACCCTTTAGTAGTTAGGGTCCCTAATTAGGGATCTATTTTTTGATCCTTTTGGGGGTGTGGGCAGCTGAGTTTGTTAGTTCCGGTTGAGGATGGGGTAGGGGATGTCGCTGTCTCACGGGTTTCAGACTTAATTAAGGCTTCGTTCGGCTTTAGGGCTTAGGCATTTAATGCTTACGGTTTTGGCTTTGATTTAAGGCATTCGAGCTGATTCGAGCTTCCCGCCTCCTGCGCGTTTGGCCATGTGGCCATTATGCGGCCGAGCTCGGCACCCGCCACGGCCAAATACACACAAACAGGTTTGTCAGCCTCCAGCAGCGTGAGGGGCTTCGGGATGTGGAAGCCCTTCTTGGCCAACTCCTCCAATTTTTTAAAGCTCAGCTGCTCTCCAGTTGCTGTGGAGAGCATAATGTCCTCGAACACCTCTAGGAGGTCTTCTGGAGATCGGTGCGGAGATCTTGCAGTACCCAAGAGCTTCACCAGCAACTGGGGGAGCGCAGCATAATGTCGACGCATTCGCAAGAGGAGGCCGCGGCCGTCTCGCACGCCCGCGAAGGCCCACAGCCAGACATGGTCCCGATGCCTCTCCTCCTCAATCTGCCTTTCCTTATACAAAGTGAAATACACGGTTATATAAGCTTTCAGATTACTAAATTATTCCTAAACCCTAAACCCTAAAGCCTAAACCCTAAACCCTAAGCCCAAAAACTTTAAAGGTTGGGTATTGGAGAACTACCTGAACCTACCAAAGCCCACTTTTTTGTAGGTTCTTATTATAAACCCTAATATGGGATTTATAGGGACCCTACAAAAAAGTAGGTTCTGCTGGATTAAGGTAAGTTTCAAGAGGGCCTTGAGCCTCAACCCTTGCAGCGACCTTCTCAGCAGTCTTTGGCCCACAACGGGCCACGCTGTCGAAAAGGGCTGCCAGAGGGTGCGGCTTCGAGCGTTCCGAGTCACCGGCTCGTTGAGATGCGGCCGTTGAACCTTCAGGGCACGTCGTTGACATCTGCTTAAAATATAGGGCTTTAAGGGTTTAGGGTTTAGGGTTTAGGGGAAAAGAAAGGGACCTTCAAAATTAGGATAAGGTTCTACGGTATATCATTGTATAACTTCATAGGGACTAGCAGGGGGCTAGAGTTTCCAAAGATCGCCATGCCCCTTGAGTAACAGATACAGTCATGAGATTCTCAGGCATGGGGAGATAGTAAATCCTTGAATAATTATTGGTTCATTTTGTCTTCAGTTATGTCTTCATGTCTTCTTGATTCCTTTGCCCTCCTGATTCAATCATCATGTTGCTCAGCATTGTTCATGATTTCCCCTTTATTTCTTCATTCCTGATTCAACCATCGTTTTGATCATCATTTCCGGCTTCATTTTTCATGTTCATCTGATTTTCAATTTCAATCATCAGTTATTGTTCAGTTTCCTCGTCAGCGGCCCTGGGAAGAGGCCCTGGGGCGGAGATGGAGCGGAAAGTGAAGAAATAATGTGAAACAAATGATGATCAACATGAAGATGGAAATGATGATTTGAAAAGGGACGAAAATGAAAACGAAGACAACATGATGATCAACATGAACATGCAAATAATGATTTGAAATGGGACGAAAATGAAAACGATGAAAACATGATGATCAACATGAACATGCAAATGATGATTTGAAATAGGACGAAAATGAAAACGAAGACAAAATGACCAACACGAAGATGAAAATGAAGATATACTTGTTTGAGATCGCCACAGTCTGTCCATCAGTCAATCTCATACACATACACCCAGACCCCCAAAAGGATCTAAAAAATAGATCCCCTAATTAGGGACCCTGACTACTAAAGGGTACTTTAATAGGAACCCCCTTAGGGGATCTATTTTTTAGATACTTTTGGGGGTCTGGGATACAGGCCCTAAACCCTAAACCCTAAACCCTAAACCCTTCACCTCGGGAAGCCCGCGGAGCTTGCAGATTTGTCTGCTGCGCGAGTAGTGCACGAAGCGGATCCACTGCACGCTGAACCTGAGGTTTAGGGTTTAGGGTTTAGGGAAGCAAATTACTGAGAAATCAAGCCCAGACCCCCAAAAGGATCTAAAAAATAGATCCCCTGAGGGGGTTCCTTTAAAGTACTCTTTAGTAGCTAGGGTCCCTAATTGGGGGATCTATTTTTTAGATCCTTTTGGGGGTCTGGGAATTACTGAACCAAAACCCGAAGACCTACACCGTAAACTCTAAATCCTAAACCCTACACCCTAAACCCCTTAGACCCCTAAACCCCTAAACCCCTAAACCCTACACCGTAGATACCCTACACTGCAAACTCTAAAAACCCCCTAGGACTCCAAATCCTAAAGCCCGAAACCCTAAACCCTAAACCCGAAACCCTTACACCCTTAAGCCCAAGAAGGCCGTCAAACCCTACCTGTGGACCGAAAGACCTAGCTTCTTCAGGAACTATATGGGGGTTTCCGAAAATAGGGGGTACCTTATTTGGGGGTCCTTATAATAGGGATCCTACTATTTGGGGTACTATATTAGGGTCCCCTATTTTTGGGAACCCCCATATATAGAAACTCCCTGAAAAGGTAGGTCTTTGCGGCTACCCTACACCCGAAAACCTGAACCCAAACCGTACCCTAAACCCCTTCAAACCTCCTAAACCCTAACCCCTAAACCCTAAACCCTGACCCTAAACCCTAAACCCTGAACCCTAAACCCAACACCCTAAACCCTAAACCCTAAAGCCCTAAACCCTTAAAGCCTGAGGTTTCCGAAACTATACTGAACTTAGACCCCTAGCAAAAATTATAATTTTAGCTGCTTCTTAGGGTTTATAGTAACCAAAGATGAAAAATTATTTCTAAGTACCCCTAAGGAAAGCCCAGAAGCACAGCTTGGGCCGCCGGGGCCTTTGCTTGCGCTCGGGAGGCTGGCCTCCGCGATCTTCGCGTCCTGGGCTGGGCTTAGGGTTTATAAGGGTTGAGGGTCTAGGGTTTAGGGTTTAGGGTTTAGGGTTTAGGGTCTAGGGTTTAGGGTCTTAGGGTTTAGGGTTTCGCATGGGGTTTCTGCTTTCCCAGACCACCAAAAGGATCTAAAAAATAGATCCCTTAAGTAGGGACCCAAACTACTAAAGGGTACTTTATAGGAACCTCCTTAGGGGATCTATTTTTTAGATCCTTTTGGGGGTCTGGGTTGGTATATAAAGGCTTTAGCTTCAGGGCTTAGGGTTTCGGGCTTCTACAGGATGTAGAGGATTTGGGTCTAGTTTAGGGTGTGTATACAGCGGATAGGAGTGAGAGCGCAGGCTCACTTGCTCTTCTCAGCTAGGGTCACCCCCGAACCCTGTTTTTTTTCCTCCTTGCTTCCCTCCAGAGTTCTGCACAACATGAAACCCTAAACCCAAACCCCCAAACCCTAAACCCCTAACCCCTAACCCCTAAACCCTAAACCGACATTGCAACACATTGCACCACAGCCCGAGACTGGACTGGTGTCGGGCTGTACATTCGCATGCAACTGAGTACGAGCTTATGGCGCTTGGGAGGCGCCTGTGAGGACTTACCCTATTTCAACACAGCCCGGCGAAAGCTCAAACTCCAGTAAGTGCCGACAGTTGACGGTTTCGGGTTTAGGGCTTACTCTTCAGCTGGAAATGAAACCTGAAAACCTAGAACGACTCCACTACAGAGCGAGAGGCAGTGTGGCTTTGAGCCTTCAGAGCACTCGGCGCACTGGTCTCGACGAACTCCACGTCCTGGGGGAGGGCGTGGTAGCTTGAGTGACCTAAACCCTAAACCCTAAACCCTAAACCCTAAACCCTAAACCCTAAACCCTAAACCCTAAACCCTAAACCCTAAACCGTTTTATTTGAAGGAGCAGGAGACTTGGTAAGTACGGTTCCCTGAGTTTTACATACGAGAGCCTTTACATCTTTTAGAAGGTTTGGGGGGCTACTTAAAGGATGAGCGGAATTAGTAAGTAGGGCTACGGTAAGTATGGTGATGTCGACTTATAGGCCTAGTTTGGGCACTTTGAACCCTACTTTCCAAGTCCCAGGGTTCTCCAGTAATTCTGTTGAGAACAGAGAAACTTATATCTTTAATATTCTTTAATCATATGGGGGGTTTCCGAAAATGGGGGACTCTAATGTGGTACCCTAAATAGTAGGATCCTTATAATACGGACCCCAAAATAACGTACCCCTTGCTATCGGACACTCCCAATTCTCTACTTCCGATGGACCTTTCACGTCCCTGAACCGCCGGAACGCCCTCAACCCTCAGTCTTACACATGAAGCCCGAAACTCCCTGAAGCCTAAGACCTAATATAGGGGCCTTCATAATTAGAAAAGGGCTTCGGGGTATACTATACTATAGTTATAATAACGGTTGATACTGATGTAGGGGCCTTCACAATTAGAATCGGGTTTTGGGGTATAGGGTCTTGGGGTACATTCTACCATAATTATAGTCAGGAACCCCCAAAGAGTATAGGTAATCATTTATGCCCCTTACGTTAAGACCTAGAGCGGAAACCCTCAGCTTGTTCCTCTCATCTTCCTGGCCGCACAGGAAAACCCCTGAACCCTGAACCCTAAACCCTAAACCCTAAACCCTCAACCCTCAACCCTAAACCCTAAACCCCTGAACTATA